CCAGAAATATGTCTGGCTCATCAGGACATTTTTTTAAAACTGCAGAATATTTTTAAGATATTTTAAACTTTTGTAAAAATAAGAAATCAACCAACAAGAGACTCTTCTGTGGAGGAGCATTTGTATTTGTGTAAGATCCTTGGTGTGTAATTCAGTCTTGCAGGATACAAGCTTTTGTGTATAAATGTTTTCTGATCTGAATCCCTGCATTTTGCAGGGTTTTTCTTTTCCTCTTTGGCTTTTTAGATAATATGTATATCGATATTTTAAATTCATCTTTGCTTTTTTTTTAGAGGAGTTTGTAATCACCTTATAACATGAAAATAAACGTTTCCTTTTTAAGATCCAAAACGCGTGGGTTCGGATCTGATGCAGCTGTTTCTCTTTAGGTCTGGCCAGCACTTTGCAGTTTACAAAGGGCTTTCAGTCCTGCCCCAGGACACTCCTCCAAAGGGGGCGCTACCCCCGAGGTTGGAGACGTGGGATCACGGAGGGGGCTGGTTTGCCTTGGGGCGCGCAGGTCCCTGGAAGATTCCGGAGTCACACCCAGGTGCACAGACTCCCTGGCTGGCTCTGCGGCTTCTGCCCTTGCGCCCCGCTGCCTCTGGGCGAGCTCAGCTCAGGCACCTGAGCCGAGGCCTCCCCGGGAGTAAAGCGCCGCCCTTCGGGGCGGGGACGTTGGAGGCGGAGCTCCGCGCGCACCAGGTGCCGCCACTTGCTCCCGCCCAAACCCGGGAGGACGGAGGCCGCTGGGAGGCGGGGAGTGACCGGCCCTGGAGAGATGATGCCACGGACACCGAGACCTCAGAGAGGAGGCCAGTTAGGACCCACAGGTCAGTGGTTGCTTAGACGAGGCTGGCCTGGGGCGTCAGGAGCCCAGCCCGCTGTTACAGATGGGGAACCGGGGGCCAGGAGAGGGGCCTGGCCTCCCTGGGGCCGCAGAGCGGGTCCACGCTTGGGCAGGCTCCCTCTCCACTGACCCACCTTCGTGAGTGGGCGAGGTCGGGGGCTCGTGGGGTCCTTTCTCCAACCTCCTGGACCAAAAAATTCCTTCCCAGTAACTCATACGTAGGCAATGATCTGGGAACTCCGCCCCCGACTCTGTCCACCTCCCTCCCTCCCTCCCTCCCTGAGTGTCCTGACCACCTGGCGGTGTTCATGTCCTGGTTCCATCTCTCTCTGCTGTGTAGTTTCCTTAACCTCCCTGCCCCCTTCCCTGCTCTCTGATGTCAGGACAACAGCCGTCTCCCAACGCTGCTGGGAGGCTCTAGGGAATGTTCCTGGCAAGCACTCAGGACAGTGCAGCCAGGCCATGGGACCCCTGCGGCCTCTCCCTCTTGCCGAGCCCGCCCACACCTCTCTCCGCAGTCCGTCCCTACCCAGTAGCAGGGAGAGCAGCAGTGCCCTGTGCACAACTGGCCCCGCCCCTGCCTGCACCCTCCCAAGACAGGGTGCCCACTCCATCCTGCACAGCTGCTGGGAAGGGACTCTTCCTCTGCCCACACGGAGCTGCGGTCCCCGCCGGTGAGGCCAGCACTGCCCTCTGCGCTGATCCTGCCCTGCAGGCCCTGCAGAGACCCAGGGGCGTCGCTGGGCCCCCACCCAGACTAAAGGGACTCCGTACAGCGGGCCCCACTCACCTGCCTCAGTGGCGTCCCCTGCACACAGAATAGAACCCGGTCCCCACCCAAGTCCTCACCACTGGGCCCTGCGCCCTCCAACCCCACGCCCCTTCTAGGCCTCCTTTCTCTTCTCAAGGCCCCCAAGCTCCTTCCACCTCAGGGCCTTTGCACGTGCTGTGCCTGCTGCCTGGGACACTTCCTTCAGGTCTCCACAGGCTCCTCACGTCCTTCACGTCTCGGCACAAACGTCACCTTCCCAACCCCTGACCTAAAGGCCCTCATCACTCTGCCCCATGACTCTCCCGTCCTCTCCGCTGCACTCTACCTCCTGGAGTGACTCCTTAGGATTCCCTCGAGGGTTCAGTCTTCCACAGGGATGCAAGCCCCTGCAGACAGGACCTCATCTGTCTTGTTCATGCTGTTTTCCTGGGGGCACAGGGGTGCACAGTGCACCGCACTTTATGAATGGACGAATTGATGAATTAATCAAAAGCAGGCGAGCTGTGACATGATCCAAACAGAAGCTGACCCTTGCCAGCCTGTGACTGTGATGGACTTATTTAATTGAAGTGTAGTTGGTTTACAGTGTTGTGTTAGCTTCAGGTGTGCAGCAGAGTCTCAGTTACACATTCTTTTTCAGACTCTTTTCCATTACAGGTTATAACAAGGTATTGAATATAGTTCCCCGTGCTGCACAGGAGGACTTTGTTGTCTATTTTATACGTAGTAGTTTGTGTCTGCTAATCCCGAACTCCTAACTTATCCCTCCCTGCCTTTCCCCTCTGGTAACCATAAGTTTATGTTCTGTATCTGTGAGCCTGCTTGTTTTGTAAGTTCGTTCGTTTGCATCACATGTTAGATTCCATGTGCAAGTGAGAACATATGGTGTTTGTGTGACTTCTCTGTGCGACTGACTTCACTGCATATGGTCATCTCCAGCTCCATCCATGTTGCTGCAAATGGTGTTACTTCATTCCTTTTTATGGCTGAATAATATTCCATTGTCTAAGTATACCCCAGCTTCTTTATCCAGGCATCTGTCGATGGACATTTAGGTTGCCTCCATGTCTTGGCTACTGTACATAGTGCTGCTGTGAACACTGGGGTGCAGGTGTCTTCTGAGTTAGAGTTCCCTCCAGATATATGCCCAGGAGTGGGATTGCTGGATCCTATGGCAAGTCTAGTTTTAGTTTTCTGAGGAATCTCCATCCTGTTTTCCATAATGGCTGCACCAGACTACATTCCCACCAGCAGTGTGGGAGGGTCCCCTTTCCCCACGCCCTCTCCAGCATTTATTGTTTGTGGACTTTTGAACATTGGCCACTCTGACTGGTGTGAGACGATCCCTCATTGTAGTTTCATTTGCATTTCCCTGGTATTTAGTGGTGGTGAGCATCTTTTCGTGTGCCTGTTGGCCGTGTGTATGTCTTCTTCAGAGAAGTGTCTGTTTAGGTCTGCTGCTCAGCTTTGATCGAGGTGCTTGTCTTGATACTGGGCTGTTTATATGTTCTGGAAATTAAGCCCTTGTCAGTAACATGACCGGCAAACATCCTCCCCCAGTCCATAGGGGTTGTCTTTTCATTTCGCTAATGGTTTTCATTGCTGTGCCAAAGCTTATACATTTGATTAGGTCCCGTTTGTTCATTTTTGCTCTTATTTCTACTACTGAAATACTACTGTAATTTATGTCAGAATGCTTTGCCTGTCCTGTGTTGAAGTCTTCAAGCATTTTGAGTTCATTTCTGTGTCTGTGTGAGGGGGCGCTCTGCACGCGGCCGTCCGGCTTTCCCAGCACCACGTGCCCAAGAGCCTGTCTTTACTCCACTGTATGTTCTTGCCTCTTTTGTCAAAGCCTGACTGACCGTAAGTCCGCGGGTTTGTCTCTGTTCCGCCCCACTGACCGCGTGCCTGCTCCTGTGCCGGTGCCGCGCTGGCGTGGTTGCCGCAGCCCTGCAGTGGTGTCTGACGTCTGGGAGCGCTAGGCCTCCAGCCTCGCTCTTCCCCTCAGGGTGGCTTTGGCGATTCTGGGTCTTTTGCGGGTCCGTGTAACTTTAGTTATTTGCTCTCGTGTGGAAAGCACGCGTACTCTGATAGGGCTCACCGGCCTGTGGTATTTTTTAAAAAGCAGACGCTCTACTCCAGGTGCATTTAAATAATTTTATTCTTAAAAAGTCGTCCCCACAGCACCCCACCCCCAGTTCCCAAGTCACCGCAGCCCCTGGTGGTCAGATTTAGCCGCGGGCCCCACGCAGGCCCAGCTGGCCTTAACCTGCCGCCCCTGGGCGAGTTGTGCTTCCCGAGAGCCCTAAGAAAACCCTGTGTAGAAAAATACTTTACAAGGAATATGCTCGAATCTCAGCCAGAGAAAAATACAGCTTTTAGGGGGTGGCAGGAGCATGTCGCAGGGGCTGTACCCAAAATGCATAGGCAGGCAGGACACTCACTGGGGACAGGCGTCGGGAGATGTGAGTTCTGGGGTGAGCAAGCCCCAGGAGAAGCCAAAAGGACTATTGCATATGAGAAGGCCGGAGCAGGGCCACCCTCGGGCCTGGTTGCATACGTCTGGGGGAAGTGGCAGAGGCCTCGGCCCGGGGAGGGGGAGCGCGGGTCAGGGTCAAGACGCGTCTTCCCTCGCCTGCAGTCGCCAAGAGGCCCTGGGAGAGTGTCCCATCCAGCCCCGTCCCTTGACAGAGGCCCAGAGAGGCTGGCCACTGGCTGAGGGTCACACAGCTGAGGCTGCAGTGGCCATGTCTCTGCTGTTCCCCCCTCCGCAAGCTGAGGGCTCTTGGTTTTCGCTCGGTGCCCCTGGGACGGGGGCCCAAGCCGTTTCACCCTGGGGCAGACGTTGACATGGGAATCTGAGTTGGCAGAGGCACTGGGCGGCCCAGCCATAGCGCTCTCCGCTCTCTGGGGAGGGCATGGAGGGCCAAGGTGGGAGGAAGCTGGGGCCAGGGGGCAGGCCCTCAGGGAGAGCGTGGGCAGGGGAGATGGTTCCACCCTGAGAGGGAGGCCGGCCCCTGCCCGGAGACTGACTGTACACCTTGATTGTCCAGGGGGGTCAGACCGGACGGGTTCACACGGCAACCGCGCAGTGCCCTGGGGTGAAGAGGACAGACCTCATCTCCCCACCCAGTCCCTTGAGTGGAAGTGCATTTTTCAGGGCTCCCGGGGTCACAGGGGTAGAGGAGGAGGCAGGAGGGAGTGGGTGCCCACCTCTTTTCCTGAGACCCTGTTAAGAGCTGAGCGGGGGCAAAGCAAGTCCCCAGACCTGGCTGAATCCCGCCTGTCCACCCCATTCCAGCGCCCACAGCCCGGACCACCAGATGGAGGCACCCTGTCCTTCTCAAAACCCGAAAGGTTTCTGGGCTGCAGAAATGAGGGCTGCTGGTGCTTCCAGACTGCCAGTGGGAATAAACGCCCCTGAACGACCACTTCTGACACTGTCGCCCCTGGGCGTGAGAGAGAACAGACATTGCTCCAGCCTCTCTCCCTGCCTGTCTGTCTGCCCCCACGTCCCTGCTTCTCTCCTGCACCGATTCGGATAGTGGAGAGAGGTGGTACCATCTAGTATTAGTCCTGTTTCCACGGTTTTCCCATCTTCACTGTAACAGCAGGCGAATGGAAACCCCTGGGTCTTTTGTCCCAGAAGGACCCCCTCCCACCTGGAAGGCCTGGGCTGAGAGGCAGGTATCCATGTGGGTCAGTGACCACGCGTCCTACAAAAGAGGCAGGTGGGGCTGACAGCCCAAAACTGCCCCTGAGCTTGCCCCGTCAGCCCAGAGCCATGGTCTCCAATCACAGAGGCAGAAATGAAAGAACCCCTCCAAGGGCCACTCCTGGGACCCCAGACACCCCAGCATAGAGCCTCCAAGGTGGGGGCGCTGGCGAGCCCCGAACACAAGAATCCTGGAGAAGGGAAGGGCCTGGGCTCCTACCTGAGCAGCAGCCTTCCTGGAGGGAGGCTGTCCAGCTGAAGGAGCCTCCAGCCTCACCCTAAAGGCTCCCCCATGGGGATGTTGACCACCCCAGCCCGTGTGACAGATCGCTGGGATGCCGCGGCCCACGGCTGCACGGGCGTATCAGCTCCCACTTGCTCACCTCCCAAAACAGGGAGCTCACGCCTCCCTGACAGCTCATTCCAGCCCCATGGCTCTGCTGGGAGAAAGCGCTCCCTGCACTGAGCTGAGCTGGCCCCGCACCAGACACTCTTCCGAGGAGGCTGTGCCCCAGACCCTCCTCCTTCCCGCCCCAAGCAGCCTATGTGGACCCCTGCGGGCAGGGCCCCTCTGGGCATCTTGGAGCCAACATGGAGAAAGACCTAGATGTCACTCCAGCTGGACCTGGCAGCCCATTACCACAGAACTGGAGAACGAAGTCCTGTCTCCGGCTCAGCATCTGCCAGACGGACAGACGGACGAGTGGGTGGCCACCTCTCCAGCCCAGCTACAGGTCTGGGAGCCAGGATCTCCCCAGGTGGCCCCTTCGGTGTCCAGACCACGTGCTGACTTCAGAGCATCCGGGGGCCGCTGGGGCCTGGCGCTCGGGGGGCCCGGCTGCCCTGGGCCAGCGGGTTGCGGCTGATGACCAGCTCCAGGACGTCCCCCGCCTCAGCCAGGAGCGGCACCGTCAGGCAGCAGTCCAGGTCCCGCGTGCGCACGTGGTTGACCTGCAGGCACAGCCAAGGGAAAGGCGGCGGCAGCTCAGCCCTGGGGCTCCTGACATGCGGGTCCCGCTCAGCCCAGACCCCGGGGCCTCTGCAAGGCTTCCACACAGGCAGGCACCATCACATAATGCCTTCCCTCCTTCCGTGCGCCCTCCCCCCAACACCTGCCTCTCTCCATCCTCAAACGGAACCAGCAGACCACATGCCCAGCCTCCTGCCTCCGAGGCGGCAACTCTGCCTTGTTTCTATTAAACATGGACCTTCCATTTCAAGGAAGGGGTGCTGGGTTTTCAATCCTGATTGAGATGAAAAGTTTCCTTTTAAAATAAATTTAACTTGAAAAAAACTTCAATTCAGAGAAAACATGTATCAGTAAACTTAGCACAAATCGGGCAGAAATCACACCGAGGGAACCAAAGTAGCCGGGGCCTGGGACAGGCAGGGCCAGGGCCGCCCCGCAGCCTCCAGCTGCCCCAGCTTTCCCCGCTGCCCTGCGGGCGGTGAGGTCACGGGGCTTGGTTCTGGCCAACGGGCTGTGAAGGGGACGGGCAGGAGAAAGCCCTCGGTGACTTTCCAGTCCCCTTTCCTCTGCCGTGGAGGCTGAGGCAATTACAAGAGGGTGGAGCCCCCGCCAGCCCCGGTGGAGCAAGGCCCATGCCGGCCTGGGGTGTAAGCGGCACATGACGTGCCGGTGGATTCAGCCCCTGAGGCTTGGGGTTGTTATTGCAGCGTAACTTAGCCTAACCTGGCAACACCACTGTGCTGTCACTCCCTGCTCGCAGACGAGGAGACCGGCTCAGAGAGGGCAGGCGACCCGCCTAAAGCTGCTCCGCCAGCGCAGGAGTGGGGCTTTCTCCCCAGCCCAGTGTTACCTGGAGGACCCTGTCGAAGGGCCGGAGGCCCCCGCGCTGGGCGGGCCCGTCGGGGCGCACCGTGTGGACGTAGACGCCCTTCTCCAGGAGGCCGTCTGAGACGCTGAAACCGAAGTCACTCCGTACGGGGTCCTTGTGCAGCGTCACCTGGGAGCAGAGGGGGAAAAGGTCCCTGAAGCTCTGCCCTTTGGGCCCAGTCGCCCGAGTCCCTTGGTCTGGCACCCGAGGCCTCCGGCCCCGGCCCGCACCCGCCGGCCGGCCGACCTCCCCCACGGGCTGGGCGCCCTGCCCCGAGCCTCCGCCCTGGTGCGCCCCCCGCCCCCCGCAGACCCTCAGCCCGCAGCACTCAGTCTCACCAGAGGCCACGGGAAGCCAGCTCCTTTCTGTCCTTCTCCAGTCTTCCCCCTGCCACCCAGGAGGATGTCTCCAAGAGGCAGCCATGGGGTCTCCCCACCCTCTTAATTTCCCACCTCCCCATCCACCAAACTGCTGGCTTCAGGCTCAGCGACTTCCGAGGGCTACTGGACGAGACATCTTTTCTCCCCGATGTATTTTGTTTTCTTAGGTAGTAACCTATGGCAAAGATTCTGGCTTCTCGTTTAAGGTAGTGAGATATATACATATATATATATATGCACATACACATGTATTATAAGCCTTTATATTACACACACACACACACACACAATAATTAAAGTGGGGAAAAGTCTACTTGAAGTAGACTCAACCTAGCACAAAATCTGTGTCTTACGACGGTGGAGAACGAAGCCCGGAGGGGCGGGCGGCCCGCCTGGAGCCATGGCGAGCCCTCGCGGCAGCGCCCGCCCTGGCACCCACCTTGTGGGTCTCCAAGGGCGACGGCAGCAGCAGCTCCTGCGTGTCTCCTGGGGCAGCGCGTACCTGCCGGCTCCTCCTCCACGGCCGGTGGCCAGGCCTGCCCTCCGGGGCCACGCTCTGCACGGTGCCCGTCATGATGGACGCCTGGGGGGACACGGCCCTCCACTCAGATGCTTCTCGCTGTCTGGGGGCCGCCATCTACGGACACCGACTACATGCCAGCCGTCCCAGTCACAGTGGTGTCCCTGCCCTCCTGGGGCTGTCAGCCCACTAATGGGTGCGGGGAGCGGGGGTGAGAGGCCACTGATCAATCACACTATGAATCAGAACAGTAATCACTGTTCTAAGCACTTCACACCCAGAACTCATTTTATGCTCTACAGTATTTTGAGACAGGCAAACACCATTCCCCTCCCCCAACTTTACAGATGAGGAAACTGAGGCTTCAAGAGATTAAGATGTGAACTGAGCGTCTGACTCCAGTGTCGAGGGTCTTAAGCACTCTGCTAACGTGCTAACTGCAAAAATAAAGAAGATGAAATGACACGTGGCAGTAAGTGTCACAGGCCAGGTACACAGAAGATGAGAGGCTAGGATGGAGGATCTAGTCAGTGTGAGGGGTCAGGGAAGCTTTCTGAGCTGAGACCTGAAAGATGAGCAGGAAGGGGGTCAGGAGGAGAGTCCCCAGCAGGCAGAAGGAATAGCGTGAGCAAAACCCTGGTGACGGGCAGGTGTGGACAGGTGCCCCGCGCCTGGAGAGGGTGCACGGGACGGGGCTGGGGGGCGGGGGCAGAGGGTGGGCCCTACAGCACCCTGGGGACCACAGTAGGAAACAACTTTATCCCAAGAGCCCAGGGAGACTCTGAAGGGTTTTAGCAGAGGTGGGGGTGACAGGACCAGGTCTGTGGATTTAGAAGCATCTTCCAGCTGCTGGGTGGAGAACGGACTGCAGAGGCGGGAAGGGAAGCCGGGAGGGAGACCCATTCAGGACCATGTAGCTGTCCAAGCAAAAGGTGACTGTGGCCTGGACAGGGATGGAGACAGTTGGGAAGGAGAGAGGGATGGAGTTAGGACATGTCTCAGAGGTGAACCATCAGGCGTGATGAGGGAAGAAGGGTGGGCAGAGTGATCACTTCTGTGCTCTGTGCTGAGAGCAGCAAGTTTGTGGTCCTGAGGGAAAGGCATTCACATTCAGACTGGGAAACCCACAGATGGAGATGGAGGGTTGGTGGGATGGGAGGATATACATCTTACCTGTAACATTATACAAAATCTGGTGTTATACAGAATCTGCCTTCCACAAATCGTGTAGTAGAAACACCAAGCTGGCAAATCAATGTGAAAAACTGGTCTGGAACCGGTCAAGTTCAAAAGCCCCAGCAAAGACGTGTGAGGAATTACCTCAGAAATGCTTCAACAACGCTGGGCACCTGTGGGATGCCTACAAGTCTAACCACTGCTGAAATAAAAAGTCTACCTGCCTATAGACATAACAGGTGAATTCACACCCAGGGAACGAGACAAATACAGAACTCAAAAGAAACTTTTAAAAACAAGTCTGTTTAAAATGCACAGAAAAATAAGAAAATGAAGAGAAAATACTAAGAAAACAGACAATAAAGATTTGAAAAATAAAAAGAAATTACAGAAATAAAAGATGTAGAAATGAAATACAGCATGTAGGAAATGGGTTGAGCAGGAGAATAAATACGGCCACGGAGAGAATTAGTGAACTGGAAGACAGATGAAGGAAAGCAAATAGGACACAGCACAGAGAAAATGTGAAAGAAAAGTTGAGAGGCACGTCTGACAGAAGGGGGCGTGGATATACTAACAGCAGTACCAGAGGAGGTAGGAAAGGAGAGGCAATATTTAAGGTACAATGAAGAGGAATTTCCCCTCACAGAAGGAAAAAAAGAGTGCTCGGACTGGAAAAAAAAGAAAAAAAACCCAGACTGAGTCTTTAGTAAGACAAATAAAAACAGACTCACAATGAGACACATCACAGTAAAAGAGCCAGCTGTCACAGATAAACGCTCAAAGCCACGGGGAAGAAAAGGAGCAACAATGGGCAGCAATTGTTGCCAGAAGACAATCGAGTAACATCTTCAAGGCCTGAGCAGGCCTGAGCTTCATACTCAACAATCATTCAAGAGCTGGGGTGAAGTAAAGGCATTTTTCAGGACACAAAGCCTAAAAGAATTTACCACCTAAAGACTCTGACTGAAAGAACGCTGTAAAGGATGAACTCGGAAGGAAGAGAGCGAAGTACAAGAAGCAACGGTGAGCAAAACAATGGGTCCAACACGCTGATGGAGCTAAGTAGGTGTTGACTAAAATTCCACATTAACTAAGACGTCTTAACAACCGCGAAGAATTAATATCAAATTGAACACATTTTCACAACCCAATATAAAGCGGTTTTTAAAATATGGATTAAAAAATAAATAAAACCAAAAATATGCAGTTCAAAACCAGAAACCCCACTTCTGAATAATTAAAGGATTTAAGTAAAAATCACAATTGAAATTTTAAAAATAGCTGGAATTGAACAGACCGTAAAGGTAGGTACCCCGAATTAACACTTGTGGGACGTGGCCCAGCCTGCGCTTGCCGGTAGTCGTGGATTTAAATGCACCGTGCTAGAAAACGAGAAAGCTGGAGAATCAGGGAGCTGAGGAGCCGGGAGAAGCATCAGGACTTCAACACAAATCAAGCAGAAAGAAGGCAATATCAAAGCTGAACACGAAAACGAGTAAGATGGAAACATGAGATAATTAACAAAACCCAAACCTGGTTCTCTGAGGAGTCTAGTAACTGGCAAGACTGAGAAAGAGGAAAAAATAAAAATAAAAAGAGCCCAGTCAACAATTTTAGGGATGAAAATGGGGCAAAAGCACGAAGAAGCAGAAGTGTAAACTGCTGCTCTCAGAGTCTGAAGGACCTTCAGAAGTGACCCGGCGACAGCCTCCCCGGGCGCCCTAGGCAGCCTGCTCCGTCACCAGCAGTGCTGACCTCACACAAAGGCTGCGTTCACCTCTCGGCTCCTCTGGTCCCTCGTCCCCAGGGTTGACATCCACGCTTCCACTGGGCGTGCTCACAACCACATCCACGTATTGCACACGCATGCACAGACACCACAACTGCCCCGTGCACCCAAGTGTGCACTCCCACATGTTCTGACAGTACACATAGCTTTTGTGCATACATAGAGCAAGCTCACATGCACACACGTATGCTCCCAGTGCACACACAATGATGCCAAACATGCTCACATGTGCACAGACCCCAGCATGTCACACCACAGTGCGCTCAGGCACACTTGCACACGTGTCCATGCAGTCTGTGCACGTGTGAAGGCACCTGTACGTGGAGGTGACAGGTGAATGCACGCGTGCGTGTTACACGTGAACAGCATCCCATCAAGGCGCTCGCCCCCCAAGGGGCACACCCACCAGCGTGCCAGGCACGCGTGCCCTGCGGGCCTGTGGGCGGGGGCCGTACCTCCAGCTCCCTCAGCAGCTCTGACTGACCACAAGACTCCAGGTCTTCGAGGGCCTCCCCGAACGTGCGCCAGAAGCCCTCCTCGCGGGCGGGGCCGGGGGCTGGGCTGTAACGTAGGAACCAGAGAGCATCAACTCCTGGCAGGCAGGTGGACGGGCAGGCGGGCTGGGGCCTGAGGAGTCTTCGGGGCCCCGGGGCCCTGCGTCGGGCTCAAGGGGCCACAGGGTGGGCGGGCGGGCAGGCAGGCAGGCAGGCATCCTCGGTGGCAGTGCTGGGGCCCCGGGGTAGTGGTTGGTGACACGGAATGGGGGGAAGACGCAGTTAGGGGCAACCAGGACTGTCGGTGGCCAGTTAGAACAGGGGCAGATGAGACGGGGTGGAGAGCGGTGACACAGGACGCCTGGGAAGAGAGAGACAGAGACACAGAAGGACAGACAGACAGAGAGGAGATCTATGGTGTACCCTCAGAGGCCAGCCCTCTGGCCCCACCCAGACACATGGCATCGCAGGACAGTGACAGGGACAGAGCTGGAGCCAGCAAGGACACGGATGGATGGAGAGGATGGAGTGTTGGGGCTTGGGAAGGGGCCGAGCCCCACCACACCTCCCACTGCAGGATGCCTGGCCCCTTATCAGCACTAAAATCAGGTCTCCTTAGAACACTAACGAGCCTCATTTCCACACTTGACAGAGTCTGCCAGGCCCTGGCCGTTACGAAGTGTGCCATGGTGTGCAGAACAATTTCTCTCTTACAAAGGCACACGGGCAGCCTCTCCTTGGGAGCCGCAGGGACAATGATGCCAAAGAGTTGCCTCCTTCCCTTCCCATTTCAGAGGCAAGAAGACTGAGGCTGACGGACATTCGCTCCATTCAAGTCAATTCTACAGACAGTCTGAGCCAGGCCCCCTGCTGGGCCCAGGAGTGACAGTGAATAAGGCGTGTGCCCTGTTCTTATGGAGCTGAGGGTCGCTCACAGAGTAAGTGTGAGCACCGACTGGCTGCTGGGCTGAGCGAGGGGGGCCGCAGAGAAGACACAACAGCCAGGTGATCAACCAGGCAGACCCAAGGTGGCCAGTGCCACCAGGAGGCTCACGGGAGCAGCCGTGGGTACCAGCGGAGGGAGGGAGGGTGCTTTCTGCCTGAGTAAGTCAGGGACGCCTCCCAGAGGCAGGGCAGCTTCAGCTGGGCCTAAAGGATGCGTGGGCGTTGGCCAGGAGAGGGGAGGGAACAGCCTTCTAGGCAGAAGGAACTGCCTGACCAACAGCACAGATGGGAGCGGGCGGCGCGGGCCGCAAGAGGAACAGCACTGCTCCCTGGGGCCTGCTCTCCGCCCAGGTCGGCCGAGTCCTTCGAAGCCGACACTACAAAACCCACCACATCCACAGCCCAGGGCTGGCGCTCGTGACCATGAACTGAGGCCACTGCACTCTGGGCTGCGTCCGCAGGGCCTGGGTTCCAGTTCTCAGTCTGCTGCCGCTCTTCTGAGGACAGCACATCACCAGGCGGGGGAAGGGACACCGGGCCGCTGCCCACCTGCACACCTTTGCCCCCGCTGAGCCCGCCCCCAGCACAGCCTCCCCGTCTCGGCCCCCCTAGATGCGGGCTCAAGGCTTCCTCTCCTCTCCTAGGAGGTGCCCCCCCGGGGGCCAGACAAGACCCACCCACGGCCCCCACTGCTTTGGCGCAGAGACCCGCTACCCCCGCCATCCCAGCAGGGAGAGCTAGCCGTCTCCCCTTCGGGGCGCTCCCACCACAGACCTCGCTGGCGGCTCCCAGTCCTCCTCCTCCTCCTCGGGGAAGCTCTCATCCGTGGGGGCTGGGGTACAGCTTGTCCTCCGGGGCTCGGCTGGTGGGGGACTGCTTCTCAGCCGGCTGGGCCGCCACTCCTGGGGGGTCACTCCCCGGGTGGCTGCCTGAGGAGTGTAGCAACCTGGCAGGTGGAGAGAAGGCCGCCCATGTCCTCTCTGTGCCCTTAGCGTGCCCTCCTCCTGCCCCATCTCCAGCCATGCTGGGCAGCCCCGGAGAGGTCTTTGCCCTCTCTGGGCCTGCCTGACTACCCAGAGTCCCCCTGAGGGCCCCTGATAGCTGGGTCCCCACCCTAGAACCCCTGGATCTCCTGATCATCAGCAGAAAGAGTTCACGCCGGGTGCTGGGACCCCATGACAGCTCCACAGGGTTTGGCTGGGCCAACCCCTGCCTGAGAGGGAGGTCCACCATTCTGACCACCCCCACCCCCGCCAAGGTGGGCTCTGCAGGTCCTGCCCCGGGTGGGTGAGCTGAGAGATGCTGACCAGTTCTGGAGACTGGAGAGCTGAGATGCAGAGCAGACAGGTACCTGGTGAGGGAGGACCAGGGCTGAGGGCCAGCTGAGGCCCCCAGAGGCCTCACTTCACTGTGAGCTGGGTCTTGGGGAGTCCCTGTGGTTCTGGGTTACAGAGGCCAGAAGGCCAACCACTAGATCAGATGCCCGGAGGCCTCCCATGGGTCTCAACGTGCATGGGCAGGGGAGCTTGTGTCCTCGGGGGTGCCCTAGGGGTGTCCAGCCAAGCAGGTCTAGTAAAATGGGGTGGGCAGGGGCTTTCTGTCTCGTCTTCAATTGGACGCAGAGCACTGAGCACTGGCCGTGTGCCAGGCTCCGGGCAGGGAATGGAGGAGGCAGCAGAAGGAAGACCGGCTTGGGCCTGAGCCTGGTGGGGGGCAGCTGAATGGGTGATGCCCTGGGTGCCAGTCAAAGCCCGGAAGGCCTGCGGTCCGCACTCTGAGGAGCGAGGGGCCCCCAGAATGGCTCCCAGGGCCCATTCGGGTCTGCTTTCAGGAAGCATGTCCCTACAGGATGGAGCTGGCAGGAGAGGAGCAAAGGGGTGGGGAGGCAGCAGGAACAGCCCCTACAGAGGCCCAGAGAGGACACAGTGCTCATCCAAGGCCCAAGGTGTTATTACCTGGGCCCCCAAAGCCACCCTCCGTGGCCGAACTGCCCCAGGACTCCACGGCGCTGTCCACACTGGGCACGGCGGGCGAGGCCCGGGCTGCCAGCAGGCCTCCTTTCAGCGCCTCTGGTGGGTCCTCATCCGCATCACTGGCTTCGCTGAGGCTGCCCGATTTGTGGGCTGGGAGGGGGCCTGGGAGGAAAGGGGGCTGTCACGGCCACTGGCTTCTGACCTCGGAGACCCAGACACTCCACAAGCCTCAGTCCCCACTTGGGTCTGGCGTGGGGACTTACAGGCCCTGAGCTCCCCACTGGGCAATCTGACGTGCAAGGTGGAGGCAGGCTAACAGGCAAACCCATTTCACAGACAGGAAAACCGAGGCTCAGGGAGGCTGCACAACGTGTCCAAGGTCACGTGGTGAGCAACATTAGAGCCCGGATTAGAAGGAAGCCTCTAAAGTGCAGGCTCGGTCCACTTCCTACCAAAGCATGGGGGACAAATTCAGGGGAAACTGAGGAATGTATGGTTCTGCTGGCAGGCAGGTGGTGAGGAAGAGCCCAGGGTGCCCCACACCAGCTGTGTGACCTCGGGCCCCTCACCCGGAGCCTGGGCTCCTCCCTGTCCCAGGTACCCTCCCGCTTCCACACAGCAAGGGAGACTTCTGGGAGGCTGGGCAGACAAAGCCTGGCACAGAGGCTCAGGGGCATCTCCCTTCCCAAGCGGGCTGGGTGACGAGGCTCACGGTCTAACTGCTTCTTGATCTTCAGGGTGACGGTCTCGCCAGCCACCTGCAAGAGGTGGATGGCCTCACTCAGTGGCCGGCCCTTGAGGCTAACACTGTTGATGGCCAGGATACGGTCCCCAACGTGGATAGCGCCAGTCCTGGGGGGGGGGCACAGGGTAGAGAGGGTGAGAGTTAGATACTCAGGGCCTTGAAGTCGGGGTCTGCCCTCAGAGAACTCAGGAACCCCAAAGCACAAACCTAGTTGACCCTAGTTAAACCCACCTGTGGGAAAAAAGAAGTGAGTGTGACTGTAGGTTGCATTAATAGAGGTACAAGTCTAGTATGTGGGAGGGGATTTTCCTGCTCAACTCTAAAGTGAGGTTCTGGAACCAGTGTCCAGCATGAGTTTTGAGGATGGTCTGAATCCCGCATACTAGCTGCCAAATACTAGCTATGTGGTCTTAAGCCAGTTTCATAGCTTCCCTGAGTCTCAGTTCTTTCATCTGAGGGGTGGGTATAGCTCAGTGGTAGAGCACATGCTTAGCATGCACGCGGTCCTGGGTTCCATCCCCTACACCTCCATTAAAAAGAAAAACAAGATTTTAAAGTTCTTTAATCTGTAACGTAAGAGTGATAATACTTATTTTATCAAATTACAGTGGAAGGGTAGATGGGTGGAATGAATTCATGCTTCCCTCCAGCTGAAATCCATAGGTAGCCTTTCCCTCTCCCTGGGCCTCAGTTTCCCCACCTGAGAATGAGCAAAATCCCCAGGGACCCAGGTGACTTCACAAAGGGGCTTGGGGGCTGACAGACCAGGCAGCAGCTTTGCAGTCGCCCCGTGGTTCTCTGCCTGGATACTGTTAGAATTACCTAAGGAGCTTTTTAAAATTGCAGACACCTCGCCCCTCCCCCTGGCCAATTAAATAGTACCTCTGGGAGCCGGGCCAGGGAAGGGGATTCTGAGAAGCAGCCCGGCCTGAGGGCGGGGAGACGTTGCAGCAGGCGCTGACCTGGGAGGGGGAGGAGGAGGCAGAGGACTGGGGTGGGGACTTCACCCCAGGTGGGAGCTCACGGAGGGTCGTGCCCCTTGACACCCAGAACTGCCCGGCAAGCTCCCCGAGGGCCTTCAGTAAAATACTGAAGACATAATATGAAAAGAATGTAAAATATTTTGTTGATAATTTTTATATTGATTACATGTTGAAATAAATATATACTTAAGATTTTTTAATGTCTTTTTTACTTTTCTAATGTGGCTACTAAAAAGTTTATAAATAAATATGTGGCCTCCATTATAGTGTAGCTGGACAGGGCAGACTGAGATCAGCCAGGCGAAGGCAGGGGGTTGTCTGTTGTGGGCTGGCACACAGGAGGACCAGAAAATGCGGGAGTTGATGAAGACCTTTGAGGTCAGAATGGTCCACACTGGCCTCTGCAGTCTGCTGGGCGTCCAGCAGGGGGCGCTCCAGGAGCACAGACACCAGCAGGTCGAAGTCCTGCAGAGCTTCAGCCCCAGAATCCCTCCCATCCTCCAGCCCCACCCCACCCTGGTGTGGTCCCCCCAGTGCTGTGTCCTCCTCCGGGGGCCCATCCTGCCTGCCAGGCCAGGCTCCCCTTTACAGGCAGCTCATTCCTGGGCCCAGAGCTCACTGCAAAGCTGCCCGGAGAAAGCTCCCCTCACCCACACGAGGTGGCCTCCCTGTGACCCCCGTGGGGCCAGTTCCACTTCTGGGCCCAGATCCACCTGCTTCCCCTCTAATCTGGACAGCCTGGGACACCCCTCTCCTCACAGCTCTCCCAGCTGCCATTTCTGGGGACCCTTTCTAGGGGAGAGGACAGCAGGGGGCCCCCAATGCCTCAAGAGATGGCCCAGGCTGCGCTGGGACCCAGGGCCAGGGTGACGCCTGGACTATGAGGCACCAGCAGGTGCTCCAGAAGGGCCCACAGTGATGACTTTCTGGGAACAGCGGGATCACCAGGCGGGAGAGCAGAGGGATGAGCACACACTCGTCCGGCACCGACCTGAGCTGGCAGGTCGGCCAGGGCTGGCCCGGAGAGGGCAGGGACAGGCCGGGACCAGCTGGGCTGATCCCAAAGCACAGCTCCCACCCCCGAGGGTCCCCGCTCACCTCTCAGCCAGACCACGCTTGGTGAGGCCCGAGATGACAATGGGGTCAAACGGCTCCTCTGTGCCCGAGATGGTGATGCCCAGGGGGCCCCCGTAGCGCTTCAGCTCCACCGTGTAGCTGATGGCACCTGTGGTCTCCTGCTCGTCTGCAAGGGGGGACGCTTCAGGGCCAGGGCCAGGGCCAGGGCCGGGGGTGGGGGGCCGGCACAGCGCCGGGCCAGGAATGGGCACTGCCAGCCCTTGCCAGGCTCTGGGGCACTTACTCATCACACTCATCCATTTCCTCAGCCATCAGTTCATCCGTCCCCTCAGTCATTAGTCTACCCGTTCCCTCATGCCAGACTGTATACGGCACCATCTGAGGCCATCTTCTGCCTCCAGAAATACTTTCTTCCCCCCAAACACCATTTTAAAAAAGAAAGAAAAGAAACATGGGACCAACATTTTTAAAATAACAGTTTCAGAGACCACACAAAATAACCACGATAAAGATGATAATAATATCGATGATAAAAACAGAGATTTCCAGTCTTCCTTTAGAAAAACAGAAATCTGCACACAAGTGGCCCTCCTTCCCGGGGCAGGAGTTGGCGGCTGCCCCTCAAATACAAGGTTCTCTCCAGTTGCCGCAGCCCTCGCCCTCCCTTCTGCCTACCCAACCCGTATTTTGAAAATGTCTTCTGTCCAGTTCACTCACTTCCGTCCCCTCTGCTTATTCACAGCCACCCCTGTCGCGGGGCTCCCCCCCGCACTCACCCCTCGCCATCTGCCTGCAGCTGCTTTGTGTGGGACCTGGACCATCCGGGTAGCATCTCAAACTCCTGCCGACCTCACAAGGGCCCTTGGAGAAGCCCAGCCCCGCAGCAGCGAGAAGCCTGCTGTGCGTTCACCCTGGGTGGCACCCACCACTGTCCCTCCTTGCGGAGTCCGCTGGGCGGAGGGTGGCCTAGCGAGGCGGCGGGCCAGGGCTCTTACCGGAGTTGTCCTCGTCCTTCCGAATCTTCAGCTTCACCAGGTCCTCGCACTGCCGCAGGATTTGCACGGCGTCCTCCATGGGACAGTTGTCCAGGCGGATATTGTCGATGGCCAGCAACTTGTCACCTGGCTCAAGGGTGCCGGTCCTGCAGGAGCCAGGTGGGGGTGGGAAGGAGCCCGGTGCATGCTGGCACCGGAGCCACCCCCACCAGCCATGCCCCGCCCTGCCCAGGACACCCCTACCTGTGCGCCACGCTGCCTTTCTTGATGTCGGAGATGATCAGGGGCTCGCCTCGCTTCCTGCTAGCCGCTGGGGGTAAAGAGGCCACGAGTCCCACCTGTGGTCTCTCAGCCTCAGGGGCCCCGGGGTTGGGCACGGACTCGAAGCCACACGCCCCATTCCCACTGCTCCCTGGCTGGGCGGCCACGAGCCAGTCAGCTCCCCTCTCGGTGCCTGTGTCCCCTCTGCCATGGGGGTGGTGCTGCAGAGTTCAGGGACGTCAGACACGAGATGAAGCGGGCGCGCACCCGCCACGGATCTTGGCGCGCACAGGGCGCTCGGTCCCCATCAGCCCCCTTCCCCCTCTGCTCAGCCCAGCCCCCAGCAAACGGAGCTCCCAGAGGGGCTGGCTGGCGTCTGTGCCCCCAGCACCCGGCACAGGGCCAGGCCCCAGAACTAGGTGGCCCTTCAACAACGGAGTTCTTCCCTCCCCAGCTGCAGGGAACACTGGCTTTGGCGGCTCACAGCAGGATCCCGCTGGGGACTGCCTTGGGCCAGGGAGCAGCCCCTTCCGAGGCCACGCTAACCCCAAGGACTGGTCCTCGCAGGGGCGCCCAGGCCCGGCTGCCAGCCTCAGCTCAGGACCGCTCCCAAGGCCTCCCCAGCTAAGACTCGCAGTGAGGCTGGCAGAGCACCTTCTCCCCTCACAGGTGTCGATCCTAAGAGCCCTCCTCGAGAAACCCCCTGCACCCGGCTCCTGCCGGGAGCAGCTACTCCTGGGGGCATGACCTAAGACAACGGGCAGCTGAGTGTTCGTGAAGAGTCCATGTGGGCCAATGGGCTTTCTCGTGAGTGAGGTATAAGGCGGCCCCTCTGGCCCACGTGGCATCTCTGCAAATGACACAAAGGCGCCTCCCAATTAGTCTGCTGGGAAAATGTAGGGAAATTTTTAGCCTGCCTTGAATGGGCGCCTTGTTTCCTGGACATCCTGGGCCACCGCCCCTGTGGCCCGGCCCAGAGGTTCCTGGACTGGAGGAGGCTTCTGCCCTCCATCTGCTTAAACTCCCGCCTCTACTGGCCTCGGTGTCGGGGGCAGGAAGGAGCTGCTTCAGCGGCCCCTCTGGACAGGGCGCCCTCCCAGGTGCGGCTGGGGAGACGGCAGGAGAGGAGGTCAGGGGACCCGGGCTCTTCCTGAGGCAGACGGGGGCCAGGGGTCCCAACCGTTCCCCTGCTTCTGCATTCTGCCCTTCTGCCTGCATTCTGCAGCCCCTCACTTTCATTCTTTTGGCAAACATGAATTAAGCTCCCACTGTGTTCCAGGCCTTTTCGGGGCCCTGGGAACACAGAGATGAACAGGAAACCAAACCTTGCCCATGTATCTGGTGCCTTACAAACCACTTAACCACCCCTAGACCCCAAAGGCCCAAAGACCAGGAGACTCCCATTGTGCAGAATGGGAAATGGAGGCTTCGAGAAGCCCGGGTCTCGCCTGAGGACACACAGCTGGGCACAGCAGCAGAGGGACGCTGAGCCACCCCCCGGGCCAGGGGGTGCGTGGCCTGCCCGGCAGTGGGGGCGGGCGGGCGGGGCGGGGACTCACAGCTGATGGTGATGCCCAGCTCCACGCCGCGCCTCTTGGGCAGCTTCACGTGGAAGGTGCCACTGCTCGGGATGACGGACTCTGCGCAGACAGACACGAGCCTGCGTGAGACCCAGGGCAGGAGCCCCCGCCCCACGCCCATTCTGGTCCAGTGGGGAGGGACCCCAAAAAGTCGCCATCCCAACCCCATCCTGCTTCGACCACCCACCGATGTGGAAACAGGCACGGTGGGCAGACTTGTCCGAGACAAGTGCCCTCCCGGTCAGAGCAGAGTCGGGACTGGAACCCAGACCTCACGCTGCTGCCGGGGCCCCACGGCCAAGCCAAACCCATTCGGATCCAGCAACGCAGACCTACGGAGCACCTCCCACGTGCCCGGCCTCAGCTGCGGCTTTCATGTGATTTATCTCATCTAACCCAAACAACACGCCCCGCGGTAGAATTCTATGCACTATTTCACAGTGAGGGGAGCTGAGGGTGGGGGAGGAAGAGACCCGTCCAAAGTACCTAGTGTCCAAATCAGAACCAGAATTCTAACAGTCACTGTTTGGGTCTTTGCACAAGCTCTGCCACCCACCCCCTAGCTCCAGTTTCATTGCAAAAACCTCTCATCAGCACTCACACTGGTGTGTGCAATTCCTTCCTCCCCGGCCACTGCCGTCTTCCCCACCATTAGTGCTCGGGGACACCCCGCAAATGCGACGGGAGGGGGAGAGGGGGAGGAGCATTTGCAGGAGGCACGAGGAGAGAGCTTGGGGCATCACTCACCAGCCACGTCGAACTCCACCTCCAGCACCACCTTGTGCGCCAGCGCCGCGTCCCGCAGCAGCTGGTTGGCCTCCTCCATCGTCCCGTCCTCGGTGGCGATGCCGTTGATGGACAGGACACGGTCCCCCACCTGCAGCAGCCCACACCTGAACCCGGGGCGGCCCGGCAGAGAGAAGAGGCCCCGTTGGGAGATGGGAACATGGCGCAGGAGCCGGGCCAGGCCCAAACCTGGGCCCCACCTCCCGGGCTGGGTTGTAACGCTCAGCTCCACCCTGGGCCAGGTGTAAATGCTCAGGCAAATTACCACAGGCCTCTGGCTGGACCTCAGTTTCTCTGTCCAGTGGGAATGATGCCATGCCTCATGAGATGTATATAGAGGACTCTGACTTCAGACAGACAGGGGTTCCAGTTCTGGGTCACTCGTGAGCTGTGTTACCCTGAGCAAGTGAGTCAGCTTCTCTGAGCCTCAGATTCCTCACCCGCCAAATGGGGCCAGTGATGGGGAGTGGTGTGATGGTTAATGAGAAACAACTGTGCAGCCAGGCTTGGCGTGTGACTAGGGGCCAATGGGGAGGAGCAGCAGGCTCACCTCTCAGCCGGGCTGTCGGGCTCGATGAAGCGCACGAGTGGTGGGGAGGACAGGGTCTCGGTGGCAAAGATGCCGCCCTGCAGCTGGAGGCCGAAGCCGCTGAGGGGGTCTCCACAGAGCACGACCTCTGTGGTCTCCGTGTGCACGATCTGGCCGCCGGGCCCCACCGTGCTGGAGGACAGCGACACTGCGGGACAGGCGGGCACAGCGCTCAGGGGCACGGTCCCAGTGAGACCTTCCTGCCAGAGCCCACCCACCCTCGTCAGAGGGGCAGGTGAGCGGGAGGCCTGACCGCCCTGGGGCTGGGCCAAGTCACGGCCCATTCTGAGCCTTGGTCTCCTCATCTGAACATTGGGATCATGAGTCCTACGTGCTGGAGCTGTAGCAAGGAGTAAGGAAGACAGCTCCTGGGACTCTCATGTTGCAAAACAGGGGCTCTGAGGGTCAGTGATATGATGGCATTAATGTGGCATTCTGTTATAGTTTCTTTTATTATTATACCATACAGATATCACATTATATTACATTACTGTTAGGTATGGTAGTATATGTTATGCTATTTTTGGTAATGGCTTTATTGAGATACAATTGAGCGACCACAGTATTCACCCCCCTAGAGTTCCAAAACCAATTCACTGGTTTTTAACATATTGAATATTTAGTATAGTCAAGTTGTATAACCATCACCTCAAATCAATTTTAGAATATTTTCAGAAACCCTTTTTCCTTTAGTTAATCACCCAAATCCTCCCGTATCTTCCAGCCCATGGCAACCACAAATGTACTTTCTGTGTCTAGAGATTTGCCTGTTTTGGACATTTCATATCAATGGAATCAAATAACACGTGGTCTTTTGTGTCTGGCTTCTTTCACTTAGCATAATGTTTTCCGGGTTCATTCACGCTGTAGCACAGATCTAACCTTCCTTCCTTTTCGAGGCAAATATCCCATTGTATGATGATACTGCATTTTTTTAAGCCACTCATCATTTGATGGACACGTAGGCTGTTTCTATCTTTCGGATATTACAAGTAACACTGTATGAACATTTGTATATATGTTTTTGGGTGAAGATGACACGTTTTCATTTCTCTTGGGCATATACTTAAGGAGTGGCATTTCTGGATAGTGTGGTAACTGTTTAACTATTTGATATGTTATTTAATATATTTTGTTTTATATTCCACTATATAATACATGCGTATTATTAATATGGATATTGGGTATCATTTATTAAGCAAAATTTATTGTATTTCATTCTACTATTAATTATACTATTGTGTCTTTATATATTATTTATTTATACTATATTTTACATATTTTACATATTACAAAATGTGTAAATTTTGTATATTGTATATATTATATATACGTATTATATATATTTTATATATATTATGTATATTATATATATTTTTTATTATTTATATATTATTTATTTATACTATATTTTACTATATTTTACATATTACAAAATGTGTAAATTTTATTATTGGGTATATTGTGTTATTAGAGTTATATTCATTATTTACATTCCTAATGATAAGAATGGTACCTGGAACATTGGAGGTGTTCAAAAATTTTTGTTTAACTAATTAATTAACTGAAATCATTAAGGAAGGAGACAAGTAAGGGGTTCCAGGGGTCTGCAGCTTATGGAGATAAGCTTCTGCCTGTGAAAAACACTTCTGAATCTTTTCACTGACACATCCCCAGCTTCAGTGGGTGACAAAAGTGGTTGGTAAAGGAGTATCTTATCTATCATCTGACCCTGAATTGTTTCCCTTTTCACATTGGCTGCCAGGAAGCTCATAACCATATTTAGCTCCCTTCATGTGCCAGATGATTTATATTTCTCTTTCCTTTCCCAGTTCAATCTCAAATGGCCCAGCCTGACCTTCCATTATTCCTGGGGGCCTCTGCAACTCACATGGAAGGAAGCTAGGAGCAACCTCAACATCAACAAAGACTTTTCCCAGAAAAGACTTCAGAATTCTGGGTATTCTCATGATTTTTGCTACTTCCACATGCCTCCTGCATGATCATTCACGACTATTTGTCTTTATGTTTATTCATTAAAAAAACACTAAAATATCTCATTTCAAAAGAAACTATATAGAGTAATCTTAAAGAGAAAGGTTTACAAGCAAAAGTCAAGTAGAAATATATATCTAGTAAAACTGAAAATTACTACACTCTGGATGGCTAGTCTCAGGCCTGTATGTCTCTGTCTTAAGAGAAAATTAACAAATGTCAGAGAAGTGATAAAGACAAAGTAACACCACACTCAGACTTTCCCCTTGAATGGACCAGAGGCTGAATGAGACAAAAATGAAATGGAGTTACTGTGAGAACTTGATGCAAATCTGAAAAGGCATCCTTTCCTCAAGACACTTTGCCACCACCTGCTGGAAATTTTTCAAAATAAAATATAAGACAAAGTGTACAAAGTAACTGTCACCCTTCAGGTGTGCCCTTGTGCAGTGCACAACCTGCCCAACCACCCATGGCAGCCTGGTGTACTACACATGCTACTTAATGCTTCTCCCCGACACATAGCCCCTGCAGGGTCCTGCCCAAAATGCTCCACACCCTTTGGCAATTCTCTCTCTCAGGTATACAGGCAGCCCAGAGGCGAGGGAAGAGACCATGGCTTACATGAGCTCTTGTGTTCCCGTCTTCGCTGCCTCCTCCGCCCCATTGTGGTCCGGGGGCTCATAGGCTGGGATCCACGAGGAAGGGTGCTGGGGTTGGTGCAGGGAAAGGCGTGGTTCATGGTCGGCGAGGAAAAGGGAGATGAGGACAAGGCTAGGGAGATGAGAGCACAGCCCCGTGAGCCCCAGCAGGGCCCTGCACGCTGCCACAGGGAGACACAGGGGTGCCTTTGCCCCTCCACCACGCTTGCTGTGTGACTTCAGGCAAGTCTCTCCCCCTCTGGGCCTCAAAGCCTACAGGGTTTCCAAAGACCTGGTGAAACCCAGCAGCCAGGCCGGGGCCCATCTCGTCACTAAGGTATGTGCGAGGTGCTGCTGCAGGGCCCCCTGACTTCTCTGGGGCTTGGTTCCCTTCCCCACAGGACAGGCTCACGCCCCTCCCTAGGAAACGGGGAGAGTGACAGCAGGGAGGGCACTTTACATCGGCTCTGGTCCTGGCCAGCAGGGGTGGCCCAGGTGGGCGTCCTGCAGTGGCCAGGCCGGGGGCTGTGGCAAGAGGGCACGCAGGGGTCCCAGCGATGCGGCCGCTCGCTCCTCTGCACCTTCACTGCAGCGGAGGAAGAGGAGAGAGAAGAGAGAAGCCAGGCGTTAGGGGCGGAGCGGGTCTGCATCGCCACACCCCTGGAGGCTGAGTTCCCGTCACCACCGCGAGGAGAGGCAGGGAAAGTGGGAACAGGACATCCTGAGTTTCCCGAGCCAAGCTAGGCATCCGAGATTCCCTCACGGGCCCTGGACGCCACTGTGTGCCGGGCACTATGCTCGGGGCTCAGCCCCACAGCATCCCGAGAGGCAGGGACACGGAGGGAAAGCGGCCTTAGGCCGAGACCGGCTGGGAGGGGTCGTGGAGCAGGATCCAAACCAGGCTGACTGGCTCTGAGCCCAAGCCCTGGCCAGGCAGCTTGGAGGAGTGCAGTTTGCAGACGTGTCCCGCCGCAGCTCCCTTGGGATCTGTCGCTGCACTGTAGCCCTGGCAGCCTTGGCCGGCAGTGACGGAGCCGGGACTGGACCCTCTACCAGATCCTGCCTCCCGACCTCCCCCACCTGCTCCTCCAAACTGGCTGCCTTGTGACACCCCCTCCTGACTGCCCTGGGTCCTGTTCTGCTTCCTCCTTCCTCTGGGACTTTGGGGGTCCAGCCTGCTGCGACGTGTTCTTGGCTGGATGAGTGAGGCCCTGGTAATCTCAGCCCATGGATTCTGCTTCCCTGCACGGAGCCCCCGCCCCCACCCCCACCCAGGGGTTGGGCTGACTCTGGGGGTCCAGTCCTGGCTCCATCACTGGCCAGCTGGAGAGCGGAACCTGTCACTTAGCCCCTCTGTGCATCATCTGTAATATAGGACAAAGACAGTGTCTACTTCCTAGCGTAACAGGGAGGAGCAGAATGAGCTAATACGTGTGATGTGCTCAGAGCAGGGCCTGGCACTTAGCAGAGGCTCATTCAGTGAGAGCAAGAGGACCGTCAGCAGCTGTGTTCCCTTGGAAGGTACTGCACTGCTCGGAGCCTCAGCGCCTCTGTAACATGGGAAAATCGACCTCGTAGACTTGTCCCGGGGGTGACCAGGTGACCCAAGGGAGCCCCAGCACCACAGCAGGTGTGCAATAATGGGGGGAGGACAGATGATGCAGCCTCAAGCCCCAGAGCCCCTGCTGTGGCTTGTCGGGGCCTCTCCAGATCCTGGCAGAGACTGCAGAGATGGGCCCTCCCCGAGGCCGGTCCCCCCACATCTGATCTGGGCAATTATTTTTCTCTTGGGAGTATCAGGCGTGCAAAGGGCGGCGGTGGGGAGGGCAGGCTCCATCCTTGCCCCCCGCACTGTGCCCTAGGGCTGGAATTCACAGCCTGACCGGCCTGACCAAGCCCTGTGCACTCAGGTCCTCACTCCTATTTACAGGTGAGGCAACTAAGGCTCAGGGAGGCTGAAGCACTGGGCCAGCCGCTGGGGACAAAGCTGGGCATGAACTCAAAGCCCAGGGTCTGGTTGCTGGAGGCACTTCCTTGCCCTGAGCAGGACGCTACCTCCCCATGACCACCCTCCACCCCAGCTCTGCCGTCTGGAACCCCAGACCATCTGCTCCCTCAGGTTTTAGAACTGCTGGCTGCTCCAGGCTGGGAGTCCCCGGGAGCCTCCCTGACTGCCTGGTTGCCTCCTCTGGATCTGCCAAGGGCCCTGAGCGGAGCCCAGGATCCAAACTCTGAGTAGCACAGAGCAGAGAAGGACTGTCCCCTCCCTTGTTCTAGCCTTTATATTTCTATTAATACAACCAGTGATGGGACTAGCTTTGGGGGCATCCAGACCAGCAAACTGTCAGTACAAACACCCACGTTGTTTCTCTGCCCCATCTCTCCACCTTTACTGGTGCACTTACTTGGGGCTTCCCAGTAGGAATGGACACTGTTTATCAGTAAGTTTTAGCCTGCTCAGAGCTTTAGTCCTGGGCCTCTGGGACTTATGCACCTCTCTCCATAAGCTAGAGTTTGGGCCCTGAGGTTTGTTAAGGGGACCTACCTGCTTCTGAGGGCTTCAGGGGCCGCCGGCTTTGGGGCGCAGGCAAGATCTCCAGACGCACTTTCTCCGACACACTGGCCAGGAGCTTGGTGGCCTCAAGCAGCGAGTAGTGTTCCGTGCTGGTGCCATCGATGGACAGGATGTGGTCTCCGGCGTGCAGGGCCCCACTCCTGGCCGGGATGGGGAGCAGAGGGGGAGGCTGATCTGGCCAGATGGAGCTCTGGGCGGCCTCACCCCTGCACCCCGACATCGTGGCGGCCCCCGGCATGAGCCTCACCTGTCCACCACGCTGGCTGGCTTGATGCGGTCGATGGTGATGACCGGCTTGTTCCGGTGGGAGCTGGTGGTGAGTGAGATCCCCAGGGCCGACCCCGGCGTCTTGGTTATTTCCACTATCAAGGGCCCCGACGCGTTGGCCACTGTGTCTGGTACAGGGAAGGAAAGAGGCTGAAATGCAAACATTGGGCACCTCCCTCCATTTCAATTCAACGCTCTCTGCAGGGAGGGGTCACTGCACCCACTTTGCAGGCAAGAAAACGGAGGTGTGTGGGGGTAAAGGCCTCGTCCAAGTTCACACAGCCCCTCGGCAGCAAGGGGCCGGGCGGCGGGATTTCAGGCTGGCGGGACGGCGCTGACTTGCTCACGTTTGCTGAGTGTGTGCTGGCGCTGAGCCGTAGCTTCCACTACGAGCCTCCCCGTCTCCAAATGACACCCCATTCACCCACCCAGTGGCTGGAAAACAAAACCTGGCTCCGTCTGCTCTCGCCAGCCCGCACCCCCGCCCCCAAGCCCAAACATCAGCAAATCAGGCCCACTGGACCCCCATCGCGTTTCCTGACTCCTTCTACGCCCTCCCCAGCCTCCATCACCTTTCTGTCGCCCGGACGTCGGCAGGTGGGAGGGCACCCCAGCCTTCCCCGTCTCGCTCCCTGATTTTTTTCACACACTGATCATCACCTGAGACTCTCTTTGACTTATTTTCTTCATTGCCCACCTCTCCCCACCAGGGTATCAGGTCCACAAGAGCGGAGACCTCCTCTGTGCTATTCTCGGGTGGACCCCAGCGCCTCAAACAATGCCTGGCAGAGTATTTATTACCCAGAGAGGCTCAGAGAGGCTGTGATGGGCCCAAGTCACACAGCCTTTGCAGTGATGAGGATCTGTACCCGCGCTACCCCCTCCCTCCATCCCTGGGCCTCTCGTGCCCCCAGGTCACCTGGGATGGCCACGTCGTACTCCACCTGGAAGAGTGCCTCATGGCTGCACTGCCGCAGGGTGGCCAGGGCAGCGGCGTGGCTGGCCCCACGCAGCGAGGTCCCATCAACGCTGAGCAGCCTGTCGCCCACCTTCAAAGAGCCCTCCCTGCAGGGAAGGGCCCGGTCAGCCTGCCCAGCCCAGCGTGAGCTCTGGGCTAGCCCTGCTGGCCAGGGCGGGCAGTCTGGAGGCTTCGCGCAGCTGGCACAGAGGTCCCATCCCAGGGCCCCACCCTGGTTCTCAGCAGCGGTTCTGGCCTGGTGACAAAGGCGCCTGGGAAGGAATTCCGCTGGGCCCTGGGGGAGGGGCCTGAGTGGGGCTCACCTCGGTTTGGGTCACATCCCGGTTCTGGAATGCCTGCCCCAACAGGTGGCCAAAGCTATTCTGGGAGGTTCTATGAATAGCTCGTTGCAGGCCTGGCCCAGGGACGGGTTCAGATTCCCGACAAGGCCGTTCCAGGCTTCTCTTAAAATGGCCAGGAATCTCCCGCTGGGGAGGCCAGGGGTCAGGAGTTGGGAACTGGGCGTGTTCCTCCCATACGCTCTCTCCTCCTGGTGCTTCTGAGCAGGGCCCAGGCAGGGCCAGGCTGGCAGCACAGCCAGGACTGGGCAGGCCACATTACAGAGGGCCATGGTGACGCCGGTCACCAGGTCCCTAAATCCCTCACAGCAGCTCTTAGGGGCTGCACTATTGGACCCATTCCACAGGCAGGAAAATTGAGGCCAGGGAAGGGGCAACATGACACCAAAGCTTGCTCCCCACCCCCTACCTTGCCCCCTGAGACAGCAGAATCTTGCAGAAGATAGAGCTTGGGATCTCTGTCATCTGGGATTCAGTGCTGGCTCCACCAATAATTCCCTGAGTGACTCTGGGTAGGGGTGTCCCCTCTCTGGCCCTCAATCTGCTCATCTGGAGACTGTGTATGACGTCCACCCAGCCTTCTGCACAGGGGAGCTGGGGGAGGGCAGCGCAGGAAGAGGCTGGCGGGTCCCTCCGGCTCAGGCTCACCTGTCGGCAGGGCCGCCGGGCCGCACGTAGGTCAGGACGAGCGGGCGGGACTTGTGCCCGTCTTCGTGGGCACCTCCTGGACAGGATTCGATCAGAGGCAGTAACCATCTACTCACTCCACCCCGGTGCCCAGAGGCCCTGATCCAGACCCTAAGCAGGCTCCCTTAATTAAGCCTGCTTGAGGACCCGGTCCTTGCTTTGCACAGTCCCTCCCGTGAGACCCCAGCTGTGAATCCCACCCAGAGCTGGGACAAAACCCAGGGAACAGGACCAAGTCCTCCCTCTGTTAACCCCCTTGCTTCTCTTCCTGGGATCTCATCCTATTTCCCTTTTCCCCTGCTTGCTAGGCAGCCCCAAACGTCATTTTCCAGTACAACTTTTTCCTCTCACTCCCCTTAATCACACACATTTTGCTGCTTGGCAGATTCTGCCATCTAGTACTTGATTTAATGATCCTGGGTTTGTTAAAGTCAGAAGGAAGACATGGAAGATATATCTATCTTCACTAGAGCAAAGCAGAACACACCTAGAAATGGCATAGCCTTCCCATCCCTTGACCCCAAAGGGGACTCTCACACTGACCTCTGAGGACAAAGCCAAAGCTGTTGCCCTCCTTGTACAGGGAGACGTCCACCATCTTTGAAACGATCCCTGGGTTGTTCTCGGGGGCTAGGGAGAAATACAGGACTTCTTGAGTCCCTCAGTCACACCGCCAAGGCGACAGGTGTCCCCAGAGCTCGTTCCAGGAGAGCTGAGTGACAGGAAGGGTAACCCCACCCCCATTTTACAGGTGGGACAAGTGAGGCTTAGAGGCATTTTCTTCCCTCAAACCGACTTAGTCCACCACTTAGAGAGGGGGAGGGCCTGCCCATGCTCCCACAGAGACACCGCAGAACTCAGGCTTGAGTCCATGGCTCGCAGGTTCAGGCCAGACCTGAATTCCAGATAGTTACTCCAATTTCAGGACTTTAGACCAATTTTGAAAATTCAGAGCTGGCCTAAACCCTGCGTCTCTGTACTCAGGGCAGCATGGTGGGGCAGGGAACAATTCTTCAGCCACATAAACCTTCCCCACTAAAGGAAAAGCATCTGGGAACTAAATACGCAGGAGGACAATGGGTTATAAACAGGGCCCTGCCACCTCCTGGTGACAGCGTACTGTAGTTGTAGACAAAGCCCCAGGTGTGGCCTGGGTGTCTGTGGCAGGTCTCCAGGTCCCACCCACCCCAGCTGGCACGATCCCCCCCACCCAGGTGCTGGCGAGGAGGCAGCTGTGTCCACCCACGACCGAGGCAGCGGAGAAAGTTCCCCGTCCAAGGGCACCCACCGGGCGGGGGCAGCTCATACTCCACCTCCAGCACCACGCGCTCGCCCACATTCTTGAGCAGAGTGATGATCTCATCGTGGCGGAGCCTGGTCAAGTGGATTCCATTCACAGACCGAATGTAGTCGCCCACATTCAGCAGGTCACTCCTGGAACGAGGAGGCCGAAGTACGCAGATGGTAACAGGAGCCGGCATTCACATTCCCCCCCACTGAATCCTCACGATCTGGACCTCATTTTACAGATGGGAAAGCCGAGGCTCAGAGGAGTCATACATCGTCCAAGGTCGCATAGCGAGTGACTAGGAGAGTGTGGATTCTAACCCAGGCCTGGCTTTTCCCCCAGACGCTGGTCTGTCCACTTGCCTCTGGTGGGGCTGTCACCCTCACAGTCATAGCTCTGACCAGCCCCAGACAGCCCGCAGAGTGGCCAGATCATCATCCCTTTGCTGTTCCTTAATATTCTTTCTGAGTCCAGAGAGGCAGCGGTGGAGAGGCTAACCCCTAGGTTTCACGGAACTCACGGTCCAGGGGAGCCGCAGGGGTAAAATAATGGGAAAGGGCCGGGCACTGGGGGCAGAAGTGGCACAAGGGCTGTGCTGGCAGAGCAGAGCGACTGACTGGCCTGGGTCCTGAGGGCTTCCCAGAGGCAGTGTGGAGGCATGAATAAGAGTCTGCCAGGAGGATGCTGTAGGGAACGGGCCTTCTGGGCAGAGGGAACTGCATATGCAAAGGCCTGGAGGGCTGGGGGAGTGTAGGGCACTGTGTATAGGGGAAGAAACAGCCATGGCCTGGAATCAGCCTCCACCGAGGCCTTCCCTCCACAGACACCCAGCCCTTAGGTGCTCCTGGCAACAGCTGCCTGATTGCTTTGCCAGAGGCCCTGGTACATTTTCCACTGGCCCCTGGCCCCTGGCCCCCGCCCGCCGCCCCCAGCAAGCCCACTTCTCACCTGGCTGCGAGCCCCCCGGGTCTCAGGTTGGAGACCTGGGGCTTCCCGTCCTTGTCCGTGCCGCCGGAGATGGTCAGGCCCAGCGTGCTGCCTTCCTTCTTGGTCAGCTCCACCGTGGTGACCCCTCGGAACTCCTCTGCCAATAGATTGGGGGTGAGCGGGCAGCGTGGGGCAACTCTGGGCCCCCAGCTCCAGGGCAAGAGAGGTCAGTACTTGGTAAGCAGCACACCTGGCTGCATTAGGTGGGGTGAGATCCTCTCCTTTTTTCAGAGGCGGATCAGAGAGGGTAAGCGACTAGTCTAAGGTCACAGAGTGAGTTAGCGGCAGGGCCGATGGCATCTGCCCCCGACCCGGAGCTCCAGGACACAGCAAGAGGAAGGAGCGTCTCACCTGGAATGCTCTGCCGGCGGCAAGCCAGGGCCACGTCGGCCCCTCCCACGTCCTTGCCTGCTTTGGAGTAAGGCCCATCGTCTGCAGGCGAGAAAGAGAGGAAAGGCCCTGCGTCTCACTGTCACTTCCATCGGGCGAACCCCTTCTGCCTCGGGGATCTTCCGCTTCGTGGATGTGGCGCGAGGGCTTCCTGCCTGCCACCGCCTCCACCTGGGTCTCTGCTGGGAGGTTCGCTGGCTTCTCCTCACAAGGGCAGCTCTGCTCTTGAGGGTGAATGTTACCCCGTGGAGCCGCTTTGCAGCCATCCTGTGGTTAACCATCTCTATAGCTGTCAGCCACTTACAGAGAAGAAAGATGAGGCTCAGAGAGGGACACGGTCACACAGCAGCCTCTGCAAGGTGCCAGGACCAGACCCCAGGCCCCTCGGCTCAGGCCACCCCAGGCCCCAGGCTCCCTTGACCACATTCTTTTTCCCACATTCCTTCTCCAAGCCCTTTCTCAGCACTGGACTGAGATGGGTAAGTTCAACCAGCAAACACTCCAGCTGGCCGGCTCTCTCGTGCAGCCTCCAGGGGCCACCCCCCGGCACCTGTACACCCCACAGGCTTCTGTTGCTCCCCCAGGCCCCCCAAGCCTGCACATGCCCCACCGGCCCCTGAAGAACAGCCCTCCTCTGCCCGCCCCCCACCCTGCTCCAGCTCGGCCCAGCCAGGGCTCAGAGCGTGGTCAGGCCTGAGCGCTGACCCTGGCTCAGCCGTTCACCAGCTGTGGGAAGGCCACTCCCTCCCTGAGGCCCCTGGTCACTCCAAGGCCTAACTCACAGGACCGTCCCCTCCTTGTTCCTCAGAGGAGGGTCAGAGAGCAGGGCTGGAGGGGATGCAGCCCCGGCAGCAGGAAGCAACCTCTTATCTCATCCCAGCCACATCCTTTTCACAAAAGGGTTAGGGAGGGTATCAGGTTAGGGCTCAGCCAGGGGTGGGGTCAACCTGGACCAAGCTCAGGGCTCAGCCAGAACCAGGAACGGGGTTCAGTCTACGGATGGTTTCTCAGCCTCGGCACTAAGGACATTTTTTCTGGATAATCCCATAAGTGGGGCACTCTTCCACATTGTGCGAGGTTTAGTAGCCTCCCTGCCTCCAACCACTAGATGCCAAGAGCACCCCGCCCCGTCATGACACCCCAAAATGACTCTAGAAACTGCCGCGAGCTCCCCAGGGGAGCAGTACTGTCCCCCTCTACCCCCAGCGAAGTCACTGCTCAGGGGACAGGGGCGGGCTCAGGCTGGGGCCGGTGGGTTCGGCCTGGGGTCAGGGCTGTAGCTCAGCCCAGGTCTGAGGAAGCCTGAGAACCTTCGTCGAGAAGGAGTTTCCAGGGGCAGAATCTCACGTTCGCGGGATAAAGCCATGGAGAGGCTGCTTCTCCAGGCCAGGGCTAGGCTCCCTTTGCTTGTCAGGAGGTGGCAAACAGCAAATCGAACAGCGCGTAAGCCTGGAGTCATTCCCGGGGGCCCCTGGAGCTGGCCCCCAGCAGCGGTGCTCACCCCCCACCCCCCAGGCCCTGTGTTCACACCCGCCATGGCGGATTCGGGCAAAACCCCATTAAGTATAATGCGTCCTATTACGGTTCCCTGATTCCCACTTCATTTAGATTCCACAAGATGGTCCTGAGCTAACAAAGCTAAGAAGACCAGGTTCTTCTATCCACTGTGTGACAGCAAACATCTCTGGTATTTCATGTGGGCAATTCGGGAATTAAAGTCTATCTTCATCCCCTGCACGTGAGATTCTGCTCCCGGAAACTCCTCTCCTGGGCTGTCCGGGGAGACCAGAGATGAGCTTGTTGGCTCCAGGTTAGGGGTCGGGATGGATCAAGGTTGCCAAATTTGGAGCCATAGGATCCCAAAGCATGGAGCGGACCAGGAGTGGGTTAAAGCTGGCTCCTGAAGCAGGGGGTGCAGGATGCATTTCCTGGGGTGTCTCTGCCCTTCCCTCATCTCAGTATTCAGACTCTGCTCCAGTGGACAGCACAATGCCGTCACTGGGCTGTGACGGCACACCTGGGACAGCAAGGTGTGTCGGTCTGCTCGTCTCAATGCTGAGTGGCCCCAACTCCCTTTCTCCTACAATTTTTTGCTGGCTTGGAGCTCAGATGTCCAGCAGTCCTGACACTGTGAGGCAAACCAAGGCTCATACAACTGTGTGCCAACAAAGAGTCAGTGGGCAATGAGTGAGGACTTGAGAGACCCCTCCCTCTATTTCTCCATCTGTAAAATGGGGGTGTCTCCCCCATCACTGGCTCTAGCCAGATCAAGCTTGAGAGTTTGAGGAAATTATTTTATTTATAGCAAACCCTCTAAGGGTTCAGACCCCAGTCCGCCTCCCTCAGAGAACATGCCCACTCTCCCTCTTTTTTGTTCTGGGACCTGGTAATTACATGCTTAGAGATGAAGGCTTTTCAAAAACATCTTTCCCACCAATTTTCAGCTGGAAACGTGCATAAAAAACAGAGATATTTTTATCTGAGTGTTTTTTTTTCCTGTCTCCTCCTTCCAGCAATGGGCAATTATGAGCTCTTGCCTTCAGTCAATCTGTCCTGTAAGAACTTGCTTCAGAGGGCAATTCATTTCTGCAGAGATGCCAGCCCATCGGGCAAATGTGGGCTGGGCAAGGCTGGGGAGCTGGACGGAAAGACGCCTTGCGGGGCACAGAAGTGCACACCTGGTCCCTGGCCCCTGGGCCGCTGCAGCCTGGGTGGGTGGGTGGGTGGGTCTCTTTTTTATTTTATTTCTCTTGAAAGCGTTGCTAATTTGCCTTCATTACCTCCGTTTCTCTGGGGCCCCGGGAAGCTACTGAGCTTTGACAAAGGGAAAAGGGTGTCAACCCCTGGCCAGGCCGCCTCTGCCAGGGTCCCGCCTGAGCGGGAGAGGGGCTGGGCAGGGCTGCAGACTCGGCAGGCGGGCGTGACTGCCGCCTGGCTCTCTGGGCCTCCGTTCAGCATCTGAGATGGAACCACCAACAAAATCAAAGCCCAGAAGCGCAACTTGGGCTGAACAGGAAATGACCAAGTGACAGTGAGCCACCAGCAGGGCCAGCCCAGCCCAGGTGTCGAGGGGGAGAAGGGGCCCCGTCACGCCGGGTCGAACCCTCCTCCGGCCGCACATCGTGGCCCACTGCTGCTGGCTGCTGCAGCTCTCCGCCAGGCCCGCCCCACCTCCGCAGGCACTGCTGGCCCGATAGGAGGGGAAGGGTGGACTCTGGAGTTAGGCCCACTCGAGATTTCGATTCCACACCTGCTGCTGACCGGCTAAGGGATCTGGGACAAGCCAGCCCTCCCCTCCGAGCCTAGTGTCCCCCTCGAGGGTTGTGGGGAGGAATCAGTGAGCTTAGGTGGTACCCAGAAACCACGGCACATTAAGTTCTCTCGCTGGCCCTAAGTTTTGTCCTAATTAATGATGGTGATGACTCCGGTTGAGCGAGTGCCGGGTCTTGTGCTACGTGCTTCACAAGCTTTGTCTCATTTAATCCTCAGCCTTTTCTGAAGTGGGATGATGATTATTTCCACTTTACAGACGGGGAAGCTGAGGCACAGAGAGGTTAAGGCAACTGCCTAGGGTCACAGAGCGCCCAAGTGGCAGAGCTGTGGGCCCCGCCTGCCTCCTCCTCCCGCCTCATGACAGTCCTCGGGGATCTCAGGGGTAATGCCTGTGGCCCTCCTGGCAGCAGCCCCGGCTCCTTCGGGCACTCCTGACGGACTGAACGAATCCCCCTCTGGCCATCACGGGCTGGACAGGGCAGAGGGCTGGATGGAGCTGCACGGAGGCTGACCTTGGAGCAACAGTCCCAGCTCCGCAGCTGACAGGCCCCCCAGAAGCCAGCCTCGGCTACCGAGAGAGGAGTGGAGAGGTGGGTTCGGGCGTGGGCGACTCGTGCTCAGTTCAATGCATGTTTTTAAGGGAAACAAGAAGAAACATATCAATAGATTTAAAGAGCAGATGCCTGCTTCACTTGCTGCCATGGGATTTTGAAAAAGGGTCTGAGGAAGGAGCCCGGGTGTTGGGCCCACCCTGTGCCAGTCCTGCTCCAAGCACTTGACAGACACGGACACGCTGAACTTCAGAAGGCAACAGGAGGGGGGCTCCCTGACTAACCCATTCTATAGATGAGGAGACTAGAGCCCAGAGAGGCCATTCAATGGGGGAGTTGTGGAGGACGGGCTGGAATCGGTCTTCCTAGTCCCCAGCAGACCACATCTTTAACCCTCAGCTCTGCTCTGTCCCTCCAAACACGAGGGCAGCAGACCCCAAGCTAGGGGCGCCCGGGAAGACAGCGTGGGGCCCGAGGAGGCCCGTGTTAGGGTTCAGGCACCCACAGGCTGGGCACCACCCATAGAGTTTGCCAGCCCTGCAATCCGCACGAGGTGTGCGGAGCCCCTGGCACTGGGCCCTGAGGCCACGATCAGGCTGACACCCGCCTCCGGGCGGGCCACGATGGCCCCAGTCACGTGGGACGGGGCACAGGCTCCAGCCGGGCCGTGGCCTTCCGCCTTCTGGGTCTGCGCTCTCCCACCTCATTCTGAAATCCGCAATGCCGAGGAGCATGCGCCCTAAACTGAGCAGCGAAGACTCAGTTCGCCCCATGAGAATAAAAGTAGTTGTCGTCCCCACAGCTGACAGTCCCTCAGCCTCCCAGACCTCACCTCCTAATACTGTCCCCTGGGCCCAGTCCTCTCCAGTGCATTGGTCCCCTCGCCGCCCCACACACCAGACTCAAGCTCACCCCAGGGCTTTGCCCTGGCAGTTCCCTCTGTACAGAATCCTCCTCCCCAAGCATCTACAAAACCCCCTTCCTCACCTCGCCCAGGAACTCATGGAAACGTCACCTTCTCGGGGACGCCGCCAGTCAGCCTGTCTGAACTTGCACCCGTGCCCCCAACACTTCCTTCCCTGACAGACTTCACTTTCTTTTTTTTGACTTAGTGATCTTAGTTACTGCCTGCCCCTGCCCACTACGATGCCGGCCCTGGCGGGCTGGGTTTTTGTCTGTTGGTTCACTGCTGTGTCCAGCACGGAGAGTCTGGCACATAGTAAACACTCGGTAAATCATTTGAAATTCAATCCCCATTTACAGATTAGGAGACTGGGGATCAAAGAGGTCAAATGAGTTGTTCAAGGTCGTACAATCGGGAAGAGGCAGAGCCGGGTACAAACCCAGGCCTCCCTGGGTCTGGAGGCCATGGCCTCTATGGTCTGGAGCCTGGGGTTCCTCCCACGGCCACCACCCCTGCCGAGGAACAGGTCAGGCCTGCCCAAAGGTGTAGGTGGCTGGGGTGAGGGCCCCTCAGAGGAGCGGGCGGCCCAGGCCATGGCAGAGGGACCCTCCCATCCACCCCAACACGCACTCACCCTGCCTGAGCCTTCCCAGGCCCTGGGAACAAAGATCACTTTGTGGCCGGGAGTCAAAGGAGAGTGGACATTGCGGGGGCGTGGGGGTTGGGGAGTTTCCTGCCCAAATCTGCGTTCAAGCCTACTGGGCGCCCCCGCCCGGGCCACACCCCTTCCTGCAGGGGCTCAGGGTTAGGGGCGTGAACAACACGGCAGGGCCAGGGGACGGGCCTGAGAAAGGACTCAGGCAGGCAGAGTCCACGGGGAGGAGGAAGGGCAGTCCCACAGTCCCCAAGCCCAAGCCCGGCGCCCCCTGGGGAGCATCGAGCACTGCCGGCTTCTCAGGACCTCAGCCTGCTCTGCAAAATGCGGAGGGTGCATGGAGTGGCCATCCTTGTCCCCGTGTTCTGGGGGAGGCCACATGCCCAGAAGCCCAGTGGGCGGTCGTGGGTGGACACGTAATCCAAGCTGGGCCAATGAGCACTGGCCCTGGGATGTCTGCTGGAACTACTGGAAACAGGTTCTCTATTTCCTTAGGGAGGAGTGATCTGTCTGGCCTGAAGGTCAAAAGTATTAGGGGCCCCCTGGGCACCTCAAGGAGAGGAGTGTGACTGGAAATAAAGCTCGCTGAAAGAGGAGCAGAGACCTGGAGTCCTAATCGTGTTAACTGAGCACCTGGACCCCACTGTGCCTGAAGCTCCATCTTTGGACTTAAAAAAAAAAGCCTCAACACTGATGCCAACTGAGGCAGGTGTGATCACGAGGCTCTGTGACCTGGGGAGCAGACTAGGGTGGGGGCTACAATGGTGAGGGCGATGGTCAAGGAAGTCATCAGACAGAGAAAAAGCCGGGAGATTATGAAGGGCCCTGAATGCCAGGATAAGAAGCTGTGATCAAGTCTGAGTTTTAGCAAACTCCCTCCTGTGACAACACAGGGAGTGAGCGTGAAGGCCGGGAGTCCAGAGAGGAGACTGGGCCAAAGGTCCAGACAGGCGATGCTGAGGCCTGACCCTGAGGGGAGGCCACAGACCCAGAGGCAGGGAAACAGCAACCTGCCGGTGCCCCCGGTTAGGTCTCCAGGGCACAGCTGCCCTTGTGGCTCTGACCACTGCAGGCGAGGGGACCCCACTCCCGGGGCCTGATGTCAAGAGGACAGATGCGCCCAGGCCAGGAGAGGGTAGAGGCAGACACGTGGGGTCAAATCCCAGCTTTGCTACTTCTGGTCTACACCTCCGTGACTCAGTTTTCCTAACTGTAAAATGGGGAGAATAATAGTACTGCGCGCACAGTGTTGTGAGGATTGAATGAGAAAATGCAGAATTCAGAGCAGGGCCTGGCACAGAGTAAGATCTCAATAGTTGCCAGTTACTAATATTATCTGGGGGCCTGGGAGTGGATGACCCTGCCTCTGCCCCCTGTCATGGGCAGGGCGGTAGGAACCTAACCTCACGGGCCCTAGGAAGCAGGGTGCTAATCCCAGCTCTGCCACTGTGGTGGGTCTTGGGCAGCCACCGTCCCCTCTGAGCCTCAGTTTCCACATCTGTCCACTGGGACCATGGTCCCCACCCTTGGAGCTGTTGTGAGAAGGTAACATCAGGTGTGTGTTGAACGTGGGAAGGATGACCTGGTCTCGGCAGAGCCCCTCCCAGGGTCCCAGGCCCAGGCCCAGTCCCATGCAGGAATGTGGCAGCTGAGTGACACCTGTTCCCCCCCATATTCCCAGAGCCTGGGGCTCATGGACCAGACACCACCCGCCAGGCCAGGGCTTCTGCCTCCTGCCGTGAGCCCCAAGCAGGAGCTCCCCCCACAGCACCCTGGCTCGGGGATGGCTCCCACAGCTCACACAGGGCAGGACGCGCCTCCCAGAGGCACACCTGAGACGTGAGCACTGCCCTCTGCAACTCCGCCTGCCTGCTGCCCAGGGCCGAGCCCTGCGGGACGGCCCAGCGGGCCCATCTCAGCGCAGGACAGCAGGACAGCAGCCAGGGTCAGACAGACAGCCCTCTCACCTGCCCACCAGCCAGGGGTCCCACCCTTGCTCTCCCTCCGGGCTCTGGGTGTCTGGGGAGTGGCAGTCCCAGCCGTCACCATCCCAGTCCCCTCTCTAGGCGGCAGTTCCAGAGAGATCTGGGGGTTCAGCCCCATCATTCTGCCTAGCGGTCCCCGTCACTCACCTGCCTCTCCAGGGGTCTCCCGGCTGAGCCCACACAGCATGTCTGCTATTGTCTCCCGGGTGCCACCGACTCCGGGAGCCACGCTGCTCGGCCCCTCCCTCGCCCTCCCCAGGGAGGGGATGTGGGAGGGGAGCTCACAGCTCCCACTGGCTGGGCACGAGTCCACCCACTGCAGCGGGCGGCTCTCTGCTTAAAGGGGACACGGCCGTTGTCATGGCCGACTCTCGGATGGGGTACAACACCCCCTCCCCAAGCCTGAGTCTGGGTTGGGGGTCTTTGAAGATGGTGTGCCTGAGGCCTCCCCCGGGGCCCCCAGGGGCAGGCAGACTCCTGGGGCCAGTTCTGCCCCTAACTTGCCCTGAGACTTTGATAAGTGATTGTGCCCTGCCAGGCCTCAGTTTTTCCATCTGGAAAAGGGGAGCAGTGCCTTCCATACTCTTTTTTTTTCAAGTAGTGTAATTCAACAGAATCTTGCCCAGAATTCCAGGACATAAACCAGACAAAGTGCACCCAATGGACCATGCCAAGGCGTGCCTGCTGGTCTCAGTCTAGAAACCCTTGCACTCAGAGCCCCCAGGGGCCCTTCCACTGACGTTCCAGCGACCTCTCCCAGGCCTCAGTTTCCTGGTCTGTCAGGCGGGGCTGGGGGAAGGTCAGCCAGCAGCCTGTGGCACGGAGCACCCCCAGCTTTGGGGAAAGACAGAGCAAGCCTGGCAGATGATCTGCATGTCCTGGCTTGACAGGCAGGGGCAGCTGGTCACCACTCCAGCCCTAGCTGGGCCTCAGCCTGGCCCACTCCTGGATCCCTCCACGCCCGTTCAGGATGACCCGGGCAACACTGGTGGACAGGCAGGGCCCTTCTCCAGCCCTCCATCCCCCTAACGTGTTTCGGCACCGACTGAGCGCCAGACACTGCACAGGTGCTGGGGACAAGGGTGGGCGACGGTGACACGGGGCGTCAAGCCTGCACCACTAACTACACGCTGCATCCTACTGAATGCAGCAGAGACAGACAAAGTCCCACCCCCATGGAACTCTCAGATGTGTGGGAACAAGCGGGGCTCCACTTCACCTGTGCCCTGCAGCGAACGGAGGGTACAGCTCCGCGGTTAGGGCCCGGGGCTTCTGGTTCCCTCCCAGCAGGGAGGCACGTCATGGAACCCAGCCCACAATTCCCGGGCTGCCCATGCCAGCTCCTGCCAGCCTAACACTGTTGGCACTTGCAGAACAACCCAGGCTCTAAGTCTGGGGCGAGGCCCCTTGTACCCCTGTACCCACAGGTCACATGCCCCCCCGTTGCCCACTTCCCAGGGTGCCTTCTCCCTTGGGTGACTTCAGGTATGTCCCAGGGGGTAGGGCCCCTCGGGTCAGCAGTGAGGCCAAAGGTCAAAAAGAGACGCCAAGGTCTCAGCCACGGGAGAGACGGAGAGCACTGGGTCAGAGGGGGGGGACCTGAACTGGGAGGCGTTTCCTGGGAGGCAGGACAGGGGGTGCAGGCTCTCTGTGTGGGCCACAACGGTGCCCACAACGGTCACGGTAAGATTCTTGTTGAAGACCCCGACCACCTCGGGGCAGTCCCAGCTCCACACCA